CACAAGAAATCGATTCTTGATAAGTTCGTAATTGCTCAATGAAGAACAAGGATTTTTGAGCTAAAAGCCTACGATTAATTCTCAATAATAATAATGTAGGTTGTCCATACAATGAATATAATGTCAATATTTATAGGAAAAGCCTAAAACCCTAGTCTACACGAAATTGATGCTAAAATATTACATAAAATATCCATCCAAATTAAAACTCTAATGAAATAAGGAAACTCGCGAAAAAGGAAACCTGCATATTTTATGTATTGCATATCCAAGATCATATCATTAAGACCAAATAATTCAATTATGATTATCGATTCGTAAGCACAAATCATTACATTCAATTCGTAAGCCTAAATCATATTATTCCATTAACCATTTCATTCTTCATTTACTCGGAATAATTCCATATATTTCTATCAAAATTTAGTCCCACTATACCGCAAAAACATGTAGTGTAGTAACATTCAAACCTAGAGCAAATAGCATGGAGTTTGGAGAAGATGAAGGGTTCGAGAACTTGTCAAATTACCTTTGGTCCTTCGGCTTCAGACTTGAGATAAAGTGAGAGAATAGAGATGGCGAGGGAGATAGTGAACAAGAACTTCGACTGCAAGAGAGGCTAGAGACTTCGACGACAAGGAATTGAGGAAGACAAGACCGCTTATGTTGAAATTGAAAAAAAAATCCCTCAAACCCTAATGCTTAATTTTGCAATCTGAAATTTGAATGGTGGGTACATCCTAAGGTTTGGGCACATTACTGGGAATGGATCACTTCCATTTGGGTCATATTGTGGGTTGGACCTGGGCCATTACACATAACAATTAACAAGTTGTTTGTTTGGTAAACTTAAAATCTTATAATATCAAATGAGACGGGGGTTGATCAGGGATGGGGGCGGGATGGGGACCTCATAGCCCTGAATACTCGACTAAGCGGGTAATCCATACCCCGTTTAGGATGGGACCTCGTGGGTATCGGGTTTAATGGATTTGTTTTTGCCATCCTTACAAGAAAGCCATTAAACTTGATTCGAAGAAGTTTTGCTTCAGATCAAAAGCTCCGATAACACTGTTGGTCTTAAAACTGACCAAATAATAACAAAATTTCAAATATAAAAGAAAGTACACCAAGATTTTTCACCCTAAGGTTCGAATGTTCAGTCAAAAGGTCCACTCGCTACGTTACAATCAAAGTGTACAAGATTAAAGGCCAATATACCAAGTGTCAAACCAAAAAAAAGCCTAAAAAATTATAGAGTCTCCTCAATCAATCGTCTCACCAAATTACACCAAGTAACCAAAGATAATTACTTCTAAAGAACAGCGTTTAAGCCCTCACACACTCCATTTACAATATCTCTTACATAAAATATCATAAATCAAAGATTAAATGAAGAATAAGATGAATTGAGACAATAGAAAAATGGCACCAACAGAAAAACCTAGAAGATATCAGTATTTAAAGGAAATATACAAATTAACCTAGCATCAAAGGCCACCAATCTGCTACTTGTAATCATCTCATCATTTCACATTATTTGAACTAAATTTGCATAACCAAAACGCAATTATACAAAGTGTAGATGCAACCGTGTTGAGCCAACCATTTAAACATTGGGCCAAGGACCGGTTTTAATAAGGGAAGAGTTCACAAATCAGCTATTAACTTTCACAATTGCAAAAATCAAGTGTTTAGTTTCAAATTTGGAAAAATCGGGTATTTATTAATTAATTAAATATTTAATTGTAATATAATATAATTAACCCACCCCACCTCCACCACCCCTACTGTTCCAGCAACTATTTCGGCTACCGGCGACTGTTTCCCAACCGCTCTTAATTTCGACGACTATTCCGGTGACTGTTCTGCCGCCGCTTAATTCCGCGACTGCTCCGATTCTGACAATTGTTAATGTCATAATTATATGTAATTTGGTCACAGATATCTAATTAATTAGTTAAAAATTAATTTTAAGTCACAGTTTATTTGCAGGTCATAGATTTCCAAATTAGTTGGTCACAAATTCTTTTACGATCACAGATTATATAATTTAAGTTACAGATAACAAAATGGTTGGTCACAAATTAACCAACACCCCACTTCCACTTCCGATCATGATCCAACACCTTGACAGCACACAACACCGTGCGCAAGCCAACCATCGCCTCCATCACCATCAGATCCAACATACCCTGTCAGATTCGCCACCACCACACCACAACCCTACCACCACCAAAGCCACCACCACTACATCAACACCACTGCCAACCACCATCATAAATCCACCATCACAAAATCACCACCACTAACAACAAAGAAGTTAAACATTTTGGAGAGAGAAATGAGGGCAACAGAACGAAGGCAAACCAAATAATTGGTCACATACACCGAAACTCCCATCCCCTGATCTCGATCCACCACTAAAACTTGGTCACAAATCGACCAAATAGTTGGTCACCGACACTCTTCGTCCCGTCGTCGTCATCGTTGCCTCTGCGACTACTATCACCAACAATCCACGACATCATCACCTTACCATTATCACCACCACCACCAACTCGCCATCAATGTTTTAACCACCGGTGAAGAGAACCGCACCCACAACACACACACTATCACCACCACCGCATCCAACCCTACACTATCAGAACCACCACCACCAACCAGATCTGAACCCACCAACCCACCACACCACATTTGAACCACAACACAACCAACATCAACACCACCACCACAACAAAAATTAAAAAAAGAAGAATAACGACAGTGTTGCGACGCTGCTGAGAGACTGCCAAGCGCCGCTTCACAGTGAAGCGTGTAGGCGATCATTATTTGAGCATCACAACCACCACTGTCGATCAGGCACAAAGAAGCCGTGTGCAGCGACGATGAACAACCACCATTGCCGATCTGTGCAGAGTTACTGTGCGCGGCTTCTCCGTGCCTGAGAACGTCTTTGTCGGTCGGCGATCGCTCACAGTAGCGCCACTCGCAGGGAGACAGAGAAAGATAGAGACGAGAGGAAGAGAAAGGAAGGAGAGGGCGCCGCTCCAGGAGTGATGGAGAGAGAGAGAGAGAGAGAGAGAGAGAGGAGAAATGGAGAGGGGAAGATTAGTGAATTAGGGTTATTAATTGGGGTTTTAATATATTACCTAATTTTTGTATAAATAAATTTTTGACATGATTTTTAAAAAGTAATCTTTAAACACATGGTTTTTTATAATTTCCTCTTTTAATAATGCAACAGGCCCAACAGTGTTAAGCATCATTTTTAGCCTAACGTTTTCATAGTTAAAGACTGATCATAAAACTTCAATGAAATTTTAAAGATCAATTCTCTCTCTTTTTAAAAAAGATTGGAGACTAACTTGTACTGAGAGAATAGTTTGGTACCAAAAGTAAAATTTTCCCTCCCTCTCACGATTATTTAAGCAACAGCCAAGTGATCAGGCAGAGCAAAGGTCGGGGACCTTAAGCTTCTGTAAAGAGAGAACTAATGTCTTCCAAAGCTCTCTTCTTCCTTGCCCTACTCTACTTTTCATCCCTATCAACTTTTGCAAACCCATGATCCTGATCTTGTTATGAACTACTGCAAAGACACGTGTCCTCAAGCTGAAGACATCATCAGAGAACAATTCAAGCTTCTTTACAAGCGCCACAAGAACATTGCATTTTCTTAGCTCAGAAACATCTTCCATGACTGCTTTGTTAAGGCAAACTCTATATATGCTTAAGCTTTATTTTAGTTTGTATATATACATACATCTATTTGTATAATTCCCTTTAGTGTTGTTTAATATTTACATTCATGTGATGCATCATTGTTGTAGGACTCAACAATGAGAGTTTTCTCCGAGAAAGAGACAGAAAGAAGCTTCGGAATGAGAAACTTTAGATATATTGAGACCATTAAAGAAGATTTAGAAAGGGAGTGCCCTGGAGTTGTCTCCTGTGTAGACACTCTTGTGTTGTCTACTTGAGATGGCATTGTTGCGGTAACATTAATTTCACAAAATTTCTATGTATAATTGTCAGTTTACGGTACATTTGAAAGCATGTACCAATATAATTCTTGACAACTCACTTAGTTCTCTGTTTTTCATTTGACCATACTCTTTCTACCTAATCTTTAACAAACAAAACAAAA